ATCTTCTCCACCTGTGGTCCCCACATAAGTGACAAGCAACAGAGGTAGGGATTCATCACAGGCATGCCCTACTTCAAGAATTAGCCTAATTGGTCCAGTGTAAGTCCATTAGAGTCTTTAGGGCAGGTTCATGTGCTGCCTATGTAGATTTCTAGCATGGGACTGGGATTGAGCCTGCAATCCCAAATGGGACCAGCAGCCCCAGGTTCTGCTTGCCTTTTAGGAACTGTAGGTCGATCACAGCAATAAAGAGCTAAAGAGGAATTAAAGGAGTGATTGATTTGGATTGTGATAGTTTTGTTCATGCCGGAGAAGAATTATAGCCACTGTAGGAAGAAGAAACCAGAGAGCAGCTAGTCTGATTGGCGGGGACCAGGTCCCAAACTGGACCTGAGAGTGGCGTAAGCCAGGGCAGCAGAGCAGGGAGAGGGCATCAGAGAGAGGGCGCAGACACCAGGCCAACTGCCTGGCTGGATGTGAGGAGGAGAGAGCCGACGGATGCTCGGATGTCTGGTTTGGGCAGCTGGGAGAGTGGCAGCACCTCCTGCAGCATAATGAATGTGAAGGACAAGCGGACCTGGGACAGAGTGCCCATGGGAGATCTAGGCAGGCGATGCAGGACCCGGGGAGTTGGCAGGGGCAGGGCCAGGGGACCCCTCAGCCACCCGGGGCACAGGCCCACAGAATGCACCAGGCAGCCTTTGCACTTGGCTGTCCTGCCCCGAGCCCACCCCGATGGAGCCATGCAGGAGCCTACTGGGGCGCACATACTGTCTCAGGGATGGGGAGGACCATAGAGTGGTCTCCCCACACTCCACCACCCTGGGCAGTGAGTATGGGCCACACAACACCAGAAAGCGCTCTGAATCAGAAAAGCCATGGCTGCACTGGCTCAGGCATCATTGTCCATAAGCAGCTGAGATCATAGCTGGCCCGGGAGAAAGCACCCATGACACAAAAGGCCCCACCATAGAGCTGGTCCCGAAGCCCCATTTCCAATTCCAACCATGAAGATGAGCGAGGCAGCCACTAGTGGCTAAGGCTTGGGGTTTGTAGGAGACAGGCACAAGTCTGAGTGATCTGCCTTCCAGCCGCACAATGAAAATGTGTCACTGAAGAAACTGAGCCACAGAACTAAGAAACACCAGGCCTGGGATTAGGGCTTAGATCTGCTGGCCCAGGGTGGTGCTTCAACCTCCCAGGGTGTTCGAAATAGGGCGACAGTGGGAACCGCAGCAGCAGACCAGCATGCATGGCAGGGGGAGCTTTTCAACAGCTCCTTACCACTGGGCCAGTATTTGCCATCCAATGCGGTGAGTGTGGAACCGTCAGCTCAGGGCAGGGCTTGAGCCAAGCTCAGCTTGTCACCAGCACCCTTCAGAGGTGAGTGTAGTGACTCTAGAACGCTTCCTGCAGGAGGCAACCTTGGCTGCTGAGTTATGTCGCAGACTTTCAGGGTCATTTGGGACCTGGATAAACCCCTGCTCCCAAGAAAGTTCCTCCAGGGGCAGGCATGGTACATACCAGCATAATACAAGCACAGTAGCATCAACAGCAGGAACATCTGCGGTGTATTCATCTACCCTGGCCCATATGATCAGGTATGTCACTGTATTCCTGACAAGTGAATGGCACGTGACATTAATAATGAGTCTCTGTCCCCCTGTCCTCCATTCTTGGTTTATCCAGTTGTCAGTGCTGGGAACCTGATGCATGCTCTTCTTCTTACTATTTCATTATTATTTTTTCCACTGCCAAACCAAGGTATCAACAGAGGTGCCTTTCAGGACCCAAGCCTAAGATACTCCAAACTGTTGTTATAGTTGTTACACACACACATACACACACACACACACACACACACACACACACTTCCTCCCCCTTTTCCCTCCACCTCCTTCTTTTCCTTCTTCAGTTAATGTCTTTTTTATTCTTGGTCACACTTAGGCCAGACTTTAAAATGGAACTGAAGGATGACACACCCCTGAGGCCAAAGAAGAGTGGGAGAGGTCAGAGGAAGACCCCAGAGAGGGAACTGGACTTTCAAGGCTGCTTTGCCACATGCCCAGACCCATGTGGGGTTAAAAGCACAAGCCCTTTGGAATCACAAAGCCTTGATGCAAATCCTAGAGCCACCTCTTGTTGACCTGGAGCAGGTGCCTTCCCCTGCCTCAGTTTCCTTTTCTATAAAATGGTGCTCATGTAGACACCACATCTTAGAACTGTGAGGATTAAATGTCGCACTGGGTCCCAAGTGCCTGGGTTAGCACCTGACACATGGTAAGCACATGCCACCATTCAGAACAATTATACCTCAAGGGCCTTTTTTTTCTGTCTGCATCTTCTGCTTTAACAAAGAAAGCAAAAGGTCCCATGTAAACACGGTAACAGCGATGAGGCTGTCTGTGTTAGACTTCAGTGAATGTGAGAGCCTGGCATGGCAGGTGGGAGAACAGCCCCTCAGGCAATCTGGGGCAGCTTTGAGAAGGAGCACAGTGCCGAGCTCTGGGGGACATGTCCATGAAGGCTCTGGGAATGGCTGAGACTGCAGGGAAAGGAATGAAAAGCAGAGAGAGTGGGAAACAAGGACCAGATACCAGGGCACACAGAGAAAGGGAACCAGAGGCTAGGGCTTCTGAAGGGGGCTCACAGGTTGTAGATTGGAGAAGCCATTGACTGTTTAGCCCTTGGGACTGAACTCTTAACATAATTGAACCCTTGTCACTCTCTGGGAGAAGCCTCCTTCTCTAGCACGTTAACTCATCTAAGAACTGGCACAGGCATTAAGTCTGGGTCTGGAAGACTCCAAACAGCTCTTCCAGAGCTATCCAGCGCTCTCGCTCAAGGAGGCCCCAAGCTAGCTTTCCCACACTACTGCAGCTCCTGGCCGCCATGCCGCCACTGAGGACTACTGTTAATGCTCTCCAAAGCCCACAAATCCTGGGCCTTTCGGGCTCTCCGAACTTCTGTCCTGAAGCACCTGTCTACAGAGAAGGTCTCCAGAGTCAGGGGGCCTAGTGGGAGCCTTGTGCACACACTGGCCCTTCTGAACTGGGAGCTCTGGGTCCCAGTTCTAGGAATGACTGCCTGGAACACAAGTCTGGGTGATTCTGACTGAGACGAGGAACAGAACTAGTGGAGACCTAGGGATGTCATATGGGCAAGCTGAGCACCTGGGATCCAGCACCTCAGGCAAGCTAGGGCAGTGTGGACTGCCTACACACATTCTCCCAAAACCCAAAGGCATCCTCCTCTGCGCGCCCCGGGTACTGTAAGCCACACTCTCAGGCAGTTCAGAGCCCCTTGGGACAGACGGCCAGCTTTGTCAGCTCCGTGCAAGGACATTTAGTGAGTAGCTGGCCCTGCTTCCCAAGGGCAGCTTCGCCTCCCGGACTGTCCCCGGTCAGGGCCCCGGGGTGGGGGTGGGGGAGTTAGGAAGGCAGAAGGCCGGCCCTGCGGTTCTGCTCTTCCTGGGGCTCCTCCGGGTCGGGGATAAGCACAGAGGCGCATTTCTGCCCCGCTGCTGCTGCCTGGCCCACACCTGCTGCCCTCCCCTGAGACGCCCGGTGAATCCTTGTAGGTAAGAGCCAAGTACAAAGCAGAGCTGGGGAGGAGACTCATGAGAGCCAGAGAAGGCAGAGCGCCAGAGAGGGGTCTGGGGTCCACAGGTTCTGCCTGGCAGCGCGATGGTAACAGCAGCACACCTCCTGCAGTGCTGGATCCCGCCTGCGGCCTGGCAGGGCTGCCATTCGATGCCTTCTTTATATGGGCAGGAGCCTCTCCCAAGAGCTCCTAACTTCTGCCCCCTGCAGCTCTTCTAGTCCCGGTTTCACCCCGCTGATCTCTGCATGTCACTCTGGTTAGTAAACTAGGCTCGCCACAGAACGCGACAGTTTCCCCATAGGGTGGGGGCTGAGGCCCAGGGCTCCCGCTGAGCGACCCCTAGGTGGAGTCAGCTAGGAGCAAGCCCCAGCGGCTCGGTCCCCCCACCCCCAGCCCCTTTAATTTGAGTTC